TTGATCCAAACTATAATTAGAAAGTTCTTGCAATTTTCAGCGGCTGATGATTAGAGATTTCCTTGAAAGATCATCTCTGGCAAATCCAGTTCCTTTTTCAAGGAATCCATTTCTAGGGGAATCTCAAAATCCATGGCATTGCTCTCTTCAACAAAAGAACAACAGGGATTAACTCCCAAGCTAGCAGTGCAGCTTTGATTACGATTAGAAAAAACAGTTGCGTCGAAAGAGAAACTCATGGGCTGGTGATGATCATCCGCTTGATCATTACAAACTACAACTTGCCAATATGTTGGGTTGAAATCCGAGGTTTCGAGTTGAACTAGGTGTGGGTTTGTTTTCATCTCAGGATTGGTAATTTCAACACCCTTTACCTTTTTGTCTATTCGGGTTGAGGTCGTTGAGCTAACTGACTTGATGTAGTTTTGCAAAAGAGAGCCTTTAGGGTTGGAGTTTTTACCTTTGCGCCTTGAGCATTGCCTTCGCTTAGTTGCATTCCAATGATTCTTTATAGTGTTCTCAGTGCGTCCTGGGAGTTTCTTGTCTATCTCAGCCCACTTTTTTCCTATTTCTTTATGTACTTGAATCAATATCTTATCTTCTTCTTCACTCCATGAATCCTTTTGCAAAAACAACAAGTCATATATTTTTGTACCAGGAATCAATACTGAAGAAAAACTCTTGAATTCGGGATAACGTTTTTTTTTGTTGTTTACATTTATTTATTTATTTTGAAAGGCAATATATTTATTGGATAATGGGACCGAAAGTACAAAACGGGAGTAACTAAAAGGGAAACTCCACAGAGCAAATGACAAATTTTAATGGCAACAATTACAGCCAAGCTACCAAGTCTTGTGATCGAAAGACCCTTGCTTTGGCTAGTCCATCAGCAATAGATTTAGCCTCCCGAGGAATGTGATTGAACAAGACTCCTTTAAGATTACTTTTAAGCATGTCGATGTTATTCGCAATGTGCTTCATTGGCCAAGGAACCCCGGAACTACCACTAGCCCAGAGAACTACATTAGAAGAGCCACTCCCCACAACTAACTAGTGAGAATTAGCCCATTCTGAAGAAGCGAAAAAACAAAGACCTTCTTTGATAGCCTTGAATTCAGCAAAGTTGAAGTCCTCAATACCAATGAATTTCGAAAAAACTCCTTTAAAAGAGCCATGGTGGTCTCTCAAGACTCCGCCTACTGCAGCTGGCCCAGGTTTAGCAAAAGCGGACTCACCAGTATTAATCTTCGTAAATGCCAGGATTAGGACATGTCCAAGAGACTGCAATGTTAGCTCTGAAAGTAATAGGAGGGAAGCGGATGTGTTGGGGGTTAAAAAGAAAGTTATTGACAGAAGCAACTAGTGAGGGCCATTTTCCTTTGCTCCAATTTGCGAGGCGCAGTTTTATTATATCAAATAGCTGTGTAAAGTCAGGTTCTTTGCCTTTGGAAGATGATCTCGTTTCGTGGTAGCTAAATAGACCAAAGGATCACAAGGAAAAGCATTCCCCAGATTCTGTTGTTTTGCTTAGGATGGAGAAGATTTTGCCAAGAATTAAAGAAAGAGGATGCATCTCCTAGGATGGTCCAGGACACTCCCCATACTTTACCATATGCCATCCAAACTTTCCACAGGAATTGGCATGTAAACATTAGGTGATTAACAGATTCAGTTTTAGTTTTGCAATATGGACAAAAAGCTGAGTTGGATTCTACAAGCATTCTCTTTAGAAGCTCAGTTTTGACTGCCACCTTGATGATGATAATCTGCCAACAAAAAACTTCAACCTTGGGGGAAGCAATTCCAGACCAAACCGCTTTCCATATGTTGTTTGAGTGGAGTGTCCACTTGTAGAAATAGTTGCTGAAGGTTTTCGATGAGTAAGTTCCAGATGTGGAGGCCTTCCAAATGACTTTGTCTGGATTAGTAGCATGTGGTACGTAACAGATAATTAGTGAGAAGAAGCTGTTCCATTGCAATAGTTCCCAATCGAATAATCTTCTACGGAGGCCAATGTTCCACAGCCAATGATTGTTAACCCAGATTCCATACTCCGCAATATAACTATTTTTATTGACAGGAAGGGCATATATTCGACGGAAGTGGGCTGAAAGAGTTATGCCTTCAATCCATTCATCTGACCAGAATTTGATGCTAGTACCTCGGCCAAGCGAGAACCCAATATTTGTAGAAACCACTGAATGGAATTGATTCAAGGGGTTTAACAGTTTTGTAATATGGGACCAGACTAGTGAAGCCTTTGGTGAAGCTGGGGGTAGCAGGTTTGTAGGATCAGACCCAGTTTTCACAGAGATAACTCTTCTCCAGAGACAATCTTGTTCATTGGCGTAACGCCAGATCCATTTGTTTAGCAGACCCCTATTTTGAGTTTGAGATCACATATAACACGGCTTCCAAAGTTTTTCCCTTTGCAATCTATGTCCCAATTTAACCAATGTGTTTTGTTGTCGCCCTGGGCACCAGACCAAAGAACGTTTCTTTGGATTTCATCAATTTCTGTCCTAACACTGGTAGGGATTTGAAATAGGGACATGAAATAAATTGGGAGGCCAGCAAGAACTGATTTAATTAGGTTGACTCTTCCTGCGATAGAAAAAAACTGAGTTTTCCAAGAAGAGAGTTTGCTTCTTACCTTATCAACGACCGGTTGCCAAGTTAAAAGAGAGTTGGGGCTAGCTCCCAACGGACGTCCCAAATATGTTGTGAGGAGTTGATCTGCCCTGCATTTGATAGTATTGGCCCATCTTATTAAGATATGATTGTCAACATTAACCCCTATTAAACAGCTTTTAGAAAAGTTAATCTTTAGTCCAGATATAATTTGGAAGCCTTTCAGAATTCTTTTGATGTTCAGAAGCTGTTCTAGGTCGGGTTTACAGAACAAAATTGTATCGTCTGCAAATTGAAGATGTGTTATCTTTAGGGGGTTGCTTCCAAAATCAACACCTTGAAAGAAACCCATCGAAGTAGCTTTCCTAAAGGATTCAGTAGCCTAATTAAAAAGGAAAGGAGATGGGCAACAACATCGACATGGAGGCTGTTGATATACATTTGAACATCCATCCTCGCCATTTAGAACTAAACCCCATACAAGTCATGATTATGTCCAGAAAGCTCCAATCTACACTGTCGAAGGCTTTTTCGAAGTCAACCTGGAAGATGAGGCCACCGGTTCTGTTTTTTCTCATTGTGTCGACCACTTCATTGGCAATTAGTGAGCAATTCAAAGATTTGTCTGCCCTTAATAAAAGCAAACTGGTTAACTCCTATCACGGAACTCATTACCTTTTTCAACCTGTTGGCAAGGACTTTTGCAAGAATTTTGTAAACACCCCCCACTAGACTGATTGGTCTAAAGTCAGAGAGAGTTGACGGGCCATTGTGTTTTGGTACTAAGGTGATGAAGGAGGAATTAATATTTTTGTTGAAGCTGCCAGAGGAATAAAAGTTGTTCATAGACTTCATAACTTCTCCCTTTAGCAGAGGCCAGAATGTCTTGGAGAAGTCCAAGTTAAAGTCGTCTGGACCTGGGACCTTATTGCCATCACAATCTTGAACTGCTGCCCAGATTTCATCATCGGAGAATGGTGCTTCCAGAAGGGAGCCTTAGTCTTCACTAATTGTCTTAAAAGGACAATCAAAGCTCTTGAGCTTGATAGGATCATTGGAGCTGTACAGTTTGCTGAAGTAATTGATCACTACTGAATGAATATCTTTTGGTTCACAAATTTCCTTCCTAATGATCATGAGCTTGTCAATTCTATTGGTATGCCTTCTATTGGATGCGATCAGATGGAAGTACTTGGTGTTACGATCACCAAATTTGATTCATTGTGAACTGGATTTTTGGAACCACGAGCGCTCCTCCTTTTTATAGAGGCTCCACAATTCATTCCTCAGGTTGGCCAGTGTGGAACGCCGTTTATAGGATAGTCTACTTGCTTCATCCTTTTTCCCCAATTCATCTATATCTACCTCCACTTAACTAATTCTTTGGGCGTCTTTATTGGCATGATCCTGCTGCCAATTTTTAACAATAAATTTGAGGGCTTTTAAGCGGTTGAAAATTCCGGGAGCCTTGAAAGAGTCTGTGGTTGCTTGCCAAGAATTATTGAACATTTCAAGAAACTGAGCATCGCCCATCCAATGTGAGAAAAGCCTAAACGGCTTAAGGCCCCAGTTCTTGTCCTCAACCGATAAGCAGATTGGGTTGTGGTCAGACAGAGATTTGGGAAGCACGTTTTGATGGAGTGTGGGGAATTTGGTGAGGAGATCACTACTGAGCAAAAAAGGATCTAGTCTGCACATAGTTGGGACTTCTTTGTTGTCAGACCAACTGAACAGGCCGTCATTTAATTGGAGATCAACAAGGTCCATAGAGTTGATGAAGTTGACAAAGGAAGACATAGAAGCAAGGTCGTATGAGATACCCCTATTTTCCTCTAGACATTTGATAATGTTGAAGTCACCTCCAATACACCACAAATTAGAAGGGTTAAGCAAGTTTTTAACATCAATCAATTCATTCCATAAGTTGTTCCTCTCAGCTGGATCATTAGGAGCATAAATGTTGACAAAGATACAGGGGATATTTAAAGCATTGATAGTATCTTGGAGGAGTGTGAATCTGTGGTTGATGGAGGAGCTTTCGAGGGTGAAGAATTGTTCTGACCACAGGGAAATCAAACCTCCAGATCTACCATTTGAACCTACCCATTCTCCTTTAAAAGCATCTCTGCTCCATAGATATTTCAAAAACCTGGAATCGGGTGTGCTGTTTTTTGTTTCTTGCAGAAATATCATTGACAGGATCTGTTTGGAAATTAATTTCTTCAAAGCCTTTTTCTTTGTTCTACTTCCTAAGCCCCTAACGTTCCAAGAGATAACTTTAACCATTGAGAGAAAAGAGAACACCCATACCCCGAAAGCTGGTCACGAAAGCTTAACCCGAGCCCAGGCCTCCCTCGTCCCTCTCAATGATTGGAGACTCTAATTGCTGTAGGCGCTTTACTACTTCAGCTTTGTCTGAGTCAAACTTCAAGTTTAGAAGAGAGCAGACCTCCCAAGTTTTCTCTGCTTCGCGCCTAATTGCTTCGTTTCTACATCTAATGCTTTCGTCAGACACTGAGATTTCATCATCCTGAAGCTCCGAGTTGCGAGCCCCGAATATTGGTTGTGTCAGCTCCCTTATTCTCGTCGTAGTTGTTTACATTTCTATTGTGTCTGTATATAAAAAAATGAGGCATAATTTGTTCAAGATAGACTTCAATGACAAAAAAAAGTAATATGCGTCATGCTGATACAGGAACAATGTAATAAAAATCGCTAAAAAAAGATATTAAATTTAGACGAAACTCGAAAATACCCAAACCTTGTTAAACAAAAAATTTTGCATGTATTACATGCATTATTTTAAAGCATGGGAATTTCATTTTTGATCCACCATGTTCCTTTTCTTAAGGAAAAGAGGTTTAGAGTTCAACAATCATATGCTAAAACCAAAAAAAAAAAACAAAAAAACCAAAAAGGAGAATAGATGTCTATAAATATATATTTATTTATTTACTTATAGGGTCTTAAAAATACATATGTGGACATTAATATCATTTTAAAAGCAAAATTAATAAATATTTTTTATTAATTTTTAAATTTTACAATTTATTTTGATAATAAGATTTAATTAATAAAATTTTGATGCAACATAATATTCATTGACATGATAATACGTTGTTACGCATGTAATTATAAATGTGCAAAGTTATAGACACAAATTTATAAATAATGTAAAATTTAAGAATTTTTGTTTAATGCTTTGTTTAAGTTCTTTGACTCAGTTTTTCACAATTATTTCGTTTTCACAGTGGCTGGATAGTGTCCTCCCTCATACCGTGGAGCGGAACTAGCCTCATTTACTGTGGCATTTTTTAATTACTAAGAAACATTGTATGATCAACTCATTTAAAAGTCTGATAAACTATCCCTTCATAGAAACGTGGTCCTTGTTCAGTTAAACTCGTTTCTTAAACTTGACCAAGTCTTGTTGTTCTGAAACGAGATTGGTTTCTGTAGCGCAATGGCTTCCAATGTGACTAACCAATCGCGTAATGTGTGCAGTAAAAAGTTCATGGTTAGAAAAGAGGTAAAAAAAAACATATAATTCAAGCATAAATTTACAATGGTTTTACATTTTAAATGTCATTGAGTCACCACTGTTTTATGACAGAAGTATGACAATTACGCTCTTAATTTTACAAAGTGATATCTAATTTATCTGATAGATTATGTCATCTGGGCTCTAATCCTCACTTTTTAAACAGGACACTTTGGACAATATCAATCTCTTCTCTGTAATAACCATAATTTCTTTTATCCTATTGGTTCTTGCTGCCATTTTAATGGAAGTTGTCATGTTCACTCCTTCATATCTACAGTCTGCTAATTAGCTATAGCACATTTAGAAAGCAAATGCTGATGTTGTCTTAAAGCAACAATTAGAGCCTGCTATGTCATAAACATGAAGCTGTTTTTTTTTTTTTTCTCTTGAATTAATTCAAACCAAGGTTTGAATATTAGGGAGCTATGCATGAGATATCTTCTGGCAGGATTCTGTTTCCACAGTTATCAGCAGGTGAGCCTGTTTATATCTATTGTAATTTGCTTCTTTATCCTAAAATTATGCAGTTCCTCAGTACCCAGAGTAACTATAGCAGTAGGGAATGCCTAATTTCTAGTCGTCTAATCGAAGTTGAATTGCCATGTTTTCTGTTTTGCAGGTCTCTTACATGATACTGCAGACGGTATCCCCAGTTACAAACTCTGTAGGAAATTGTGTTAAGAGAGTTGTGGTCATCGTCTCTTCCGTTATCTTCTTTTCAAACGCCTGTTTCACCCAGTAATTCCCTTGGTAAAATTGTTCATCAACCAATTGTTAAAACATGGCAAATTGACAATTCTTCCTTGATCATCAGCTTTTACATGCACTAATCAAATTGAAAAAAAAATAGCACTTGCATTCTATTAAAATTTAACTGTGACTGGTTTGGACTGCAGGCACTGCAGTGGCTCTTACTGGAATCTTCTTGTGTTCGAAAGAAAAGCGAATGAAGCCAAAGCCAAAGGCTGCCGAGTTGGTATGAAGTTTTGATGAAAATAAAAACAAATAGCAGTATGTATCTAATCATTCAAAAAGAAACTTTAACTCCAATAAGCTGAATGTAAAGTTTCTTCTTAGATATATATATATATATATATACTGATAAAAGTAATTATAAAATTTGCTATTTGAATTAAAATTTTAATTAAATTAATTTATATAATCATCTATAAAAATAATGTTTAATAAATTTTGGATTCAAATATCTACAATCTCTTTCTCAATCCAGTTTTTATAAAAGAAAAAAAAAATTGCTCTTGCACCCTTTAAAAATATCTACAAAAAGCAAATGTGAATTGACCACCTTTTAATCTCTTTCTAAATTCTTCCAAGGACAGGTCATTTTCATGTCGTTTCAGGCTATATTGGAAACCAAAGCACTAAGTAGCTTGCCCCATTGAAACATGCTTGACATTTGGTTGGGTCCTTCCTAAATTACCCTGTTCTTTTTTTTACCATTGATTTGTTTGATGTAAGGTTTATCGAATTTCATCCTTTTGTCACTGTTAAGTCTTTCCCACAAAATCATTAGTAATGTGAAACAAAAAGTTTGTAATAATTAAAGTCATTTTTAATTATTTTTTGTCAAAATAAATTTAATTTCCAAGCTTCATATTCTTCCAAGTTTGGTTGCTCTCTCAATGTCAATACTGTCGCATGAACATGGGAAAAATATAGAACCAAACACCCTGATCCCACCTTCAGATATCTGATGATAGAAGGTGACCTTGTCTCCTTCTGGTATTAAGCCTTTGGCTGAACCTCGTTGTCTGATTTTCTCTTCCAAAATTCTGTTTCGGCTTTTCGTACTTGAAATCAAAGATTTTTTTCAGATACCCTATTTTATCGATTTGCTAATGATTCTTTCTACTTTCCTTTTGTTCTTCTTTGAAGATATAACTGCGCACTTTTTTAGAACTTTGGGTTCAATTTCACGTAATTGTAAGTAACGTAAAGACCACGCTTTGTGCAAGTTTTTGTTTGACTTGATATTTTATCACACGTGATATAATTATATAATATGAATATAATATAAATTTAAAATTTAATAATAATTATATTTAAATTTAATAAAATTTAAAAAATATTTTATATTTTTTATGTTAATATAAATTATAATATATAATTTTTATATAAAATAAAATATGAATACATAAATTTTTATATTTTATACATATAAATACACGAAATGTTAAATTTAATTTTATTATGCGAAAAAATATGTGTTTAAAGAATATTGGAATGTGTTTTGCACGCGCAGATAATATGTTATGACGGCGACTGAGGTTATGATAAATACGAGAGCGGGTAATTTCCGAACATTGAACTCGTTATTGGCAATTCCATGTTTGACTTATAACAGAAGTATGATTGTGGTATTTTTTTTTGGAATTTTCATAGCCTTTATTTTTGAAAAAAAAAATCATGAATTTTTTAAAAAAAAACTTTCTACTCGCATTTACTGTAAATGTGAATGGGTGAATAAAAAATTTCAAATTTCATAAGAAAAAAAAGATAACAATATTTTATTGGGGCAAATAATATTGGATAGAATATAGCAAGAAATAATTATGTTACACTACTTCAATTTTATTGTATTCTTTATTCTTGTAGTATCATAGCTCAAGTAATTTAGTATTCTAATTTCTACGTTGTTATGAATAAAATGATTTGTAGTAATGACAATGCATAATCAACATAAATATGACAATAAATTTTAAAAATCCGATGACCAAACTAATTTCCTTTTTGTTTTAATTTGAGGAAAAGGATATTCAAAAAAAATTTTTGAAAATAAAAACAAATGCACAAGTGCACGGACTTTTCATGCAACTCAGCACAATTTCAATTGTATATTCAATGATTTTTTTAATTGAATCAAAAGTCACAGAACATGAATTAAATATACATGAGTCTCTAATTGACACTAAAAAAAAACACAAAAATAAGATTGATCTGGAATTATTATATCACTAAATCATGTATCTTGAAAATCCAATGAATTTCAACAAATTATAAGATACGTATTCTAAATCAAATATAATTATGACAATTTTTGTTATTCATAAAGTAATGCAATAAAAGGAAACTTTTTGAATAGATAATTTTTTTCTTAATCACTTTTACATATTATTTATTTCCATAAATTGTTTTAATTTTAATTATAACTTAATTTCTTATGAATTTATATTTGATATATTATCAGATACACATAATTACTCAAAATTATTTTTTTCAACCAATCTCAATTTTCACAAATTAAACACGTAGTCGTCGTTGCCTTTGTAAAAAAAAAAAAAAATTTGAACAAAATAACGTCACTGTGAATAAGAATAATGCTTAATTGATTCAACCGGCAGTAGAAGCTCCCCAGACTAATATCATGACAATAATAGATATGAGATCTAGCAAATCAGGACCCAATGATGCTTCCAAAAAGAAGCAAAAAAGAAAAACTAGGTTGCCCTTGTGGAAAGTTTTGGTTGGAATATTTCTCCAAAACTGGGGATAGAGAATGGATTTTGAATTGGCTTTTAACCCATGCAGTATCCTTCCATTGTGGTGGTTTTTTTAAGGGTTATTGGGTTGCTATTTACTCTACGTTTGGATTCCACCTCAGTGAGTTGCGATTAAATATACTTTCAGTTAAATTTAAATATCAGTTGTAGTGAAATCAAATCAATATAAATTTTTTATTAAATTATTTTCAATCATAATTACAATAAATTTTATTAGTATTTTCAATTTCATCACAATTAATTTTATCATCTTTTCAAATAGCGCCTTAATTTATTGGCTTTTACACCGTATGTTGTGTCAGTTTGTTATTGAACTTGAAGAGAACTGTGTTTTAATAGTTTTTTAGAAAACATATATTAATACGTAAATGATGAAAACAAGGTACGTATTACAGTTTAAAACAGGCACTACAGACTACAGAGGTGAAGGCGGAGGCGATGACAATGACATAGATACTTGCTATTATACACTCTATACGTGCAACATAGTTATTTAGTAGCATATTTATTTTGGAAGTTGCATGCATGGACTACATATCATACATATACCTGAAATGAAGCTTCTAGCTTTTGGTAATACAACTAGAAACCGAATAGATTTTGGCCTCCCTTCCCCTCGACCTCTACTTTACATCACATGAGCTTCACGAGCATCATCATTGGGTGCAGCAACAGCTGCAGCGGCATCATTGTTAGTGCCCCCAGCAGCTTCAGCAGTTGCAGCTATTATGGTCCTCCCAGCTGGCTTGACTGCAGCTTTCTCAACCTTAATAGAGTGAGAATATAAACGACGCAAAAGCTTACCAAACAACTTGATTTCATCTTCAGAGACGTCGTCATAAATTGTCATCACATCACCAACTCTTAGGTCATGAAAATCAACAAAATGTAGCCATTCCTTTTGTAAAACAGGCTTTTTGAAGCCTGTTTTCCGGATGGAGCAAGCAAACCTCCACACGCGCCCACTACTCTCATCCTCAACTGGAAACTCCATGGGATGAGATCTGCTACTTGGGAAGAAGGGAAGACTCTCCGTGGAGAGAGCCAATCTTTTGCTGATATCAGTTGGACTCAGAGGCTTTGAGAAGATCTTTCTCTTCATACCTACAGGTGAATTTGATAGGACCTAGTTTTCAGGTTCTGGCAGACCAATTAAGGTTCTCTCTGCTTTTTCTTTTGTGAGAGTCCAAAACAGAGCTGTCAATGAGACAATAAGCCATTCGGAAATAAGCCTTGATATAGCTGTCAATGACATATAAGCCGTTGATTTTGCATTAAAAAATACTTCTAAATAGACTAAAAAATTCACGTGACTACCAAATCGCATCCAAACCCTAGCTATTAGAATTTTTTCCTAAGGAATGTTACTTTAAAATCTTTATTACTTCATAGGGACAGTTTTAAACTTATTTAACTAAATGAGGTTCTCATGCCATGTCATTTTTTTTTATTATCTTTCTCCTGTTACAAACAAAATACAAGAGATTACACGTTCGCTTCTTCCTTTAACTCTCTTACAATCAAAGACCAGTGGCAAGCATAATACGAAAACTTTAGGTGGGTTCATAAACAGGGAATGAAAATGTAGGAGCGAAAATTGTCCCTGGTGATGATGCTTTGGGAAGCTCTTTAAGGGGCCATGATGCTTGGGAAAGTGTGTTGGCCTTGGAGATGGACACGGGGATTTTGCTGGAGGCTCGACTCGATTACTAGAACATGGGACTGAGAAGGAACTGCATAGGGGGATGAGTTGACGGCGTAGCCTTTCTCTCAACTATAACAACAGCGATCAGGTTTTGCCTCTTTTGGCAATGACCCTCTTGGCCATTAATGAGAAAAAAGGGACCAGAATGAGAAACTGAGACTCAAAACTTCCACTTGTCATTTCCTTTATAGGCCATTGTTCTTTCTGTTGCACTTAAAGTAATCATCTTTAGGTACCAAAAAAACCGAGTAGTATGTTCCTTTCTCATATTTGAAAACTGTCCAAACCAGAAACATAATCCATATACCAAAATCAAATAAAAAAGACAATTGAACGTAAAAATGGTTATGAAAAAAACAAGGCCAAAATATTGAATCAAAGCAATAAGAAAACGAAAGACTTATTAAGGGTGTCATTGACTTGGACCCTTGTCTACCAGCCTAGTCATTGTACATCTCTTTAGGCGGTAATACTCAGACATCTTTGCCACCAACAAAGAAGTTTCTGGAGACATGAGAGAAAGAAAGAAGAAAAGCAAAGTCTAAGAAAAGGCAGAGAGATTTTGGAGATTTCAAATTAAGAAATTTGAACGAGGGTGGACACTGGAATGCGTAAGTTAAGTCCGAGCCATTGCCTACCAACCTTTTTTTTTTTTTGTTTACAACCTCATCATAAAAAGTGAAATTCTTTGTGAATTAGAAAGATACTTAAATAAATTCATAGATAAAAAAAAAAACCTCTAAAATTAATATAAATATG